AAAAAAAAAAAAAAAAAGAACCCCACCTGGATCCCTTGCCCCACGCCAAGTAGGCCCTGGCTCTATCTAACTTGGAGCTAACCTCCCAGCAGGTTAAGAACAGTTCTCATCCTTGTTTCCAAAAATTAGGATGTGTTATGTTCATGTAGCAGCTCTCCATGACGAATGTAATCATTATATACTCTAAACATGTACTAAGAAAAATAAAAATTGGGGCCGGGGAGATGGCTCAGTGGAATAAGCACTTCCTTGGCAAGCGCAAGGGCCTGAGTTCAATCCTCAGTTCCGCAAATAAATAAATAAATTAAATAAAAATTTAGGAGCCAGGGAGATGGCTCACTAGAGCACCAGGGACATGGCTCAGTGGAATAAGTGCTTCTCTGGCAAGCGGAAGGTCCTGAGTTCAATCCCTAGTTCCACCAAAAAAGAGATGAGAGAAATGGCTCAGTAGAATAAGCACTTGCCTGGCAAGGGCCTTGGTTCTGAAAAAAAAAAAAAATTGAACTCACTTCATAGCCCAGGCTAACCTCAACTTACAATGATCCTCGCAGGGATCACAGGCGTGAGTAACCATGCCTGGCTTCTCATTTTTTTGAGACAATGTTTCACTATCATAGTCCAGGCTGGACTTGAACTCAAGAAATTCTCCTGTCTCAGTCTTCCCTTGCCTAAGCTTGCCTAAGCAAGTGCTTTAGACCGCTGAGCTATCTCGCCAGCCCTTCAGTCCTTAAACCTTAGGCTCGTTCAAGGGTAATAGACTCCATAGTCAAGTCTCTACCCATAGTCAAGTCATGCAGCCCTGAGCCTAGCACAAGCATATATGTTTTCCAAGTTTTTGGAAGAATCCAACTGCTGTGCAGATGTCAACACCTTGAGAATCACTAATGCAGGAACCACACCCCTCTGTGGAATCACTTTTCTGATTAGTCATCAACTCTCCAACTTGTACCTTGTGTGGACTCAAGGGCCTGTAGATCCAATAATATCATGATTAACCATACTAATGTAAGGTCCTTTAAACTGTCTTTTCCCCCAGGGACCAATGAACCCAGGAAAGAGTACCAGCCCCTAAGATGACAGTTTAGACCTAGAGCTTAAAGATCTATAATAGCTGGTATTAGGAATTTCTGCCCTTAAATCTTTTCTGATGGGCTCAGCTCGTCCTGAGGGTGGGGCTGACACAGCATGAGGTGCCAGGGATTGAACCGCAGTCCTTGCACCCTTGCCTAAGCTTGCCTAAGCAAGTGCTTTAGACCACTGAGCTATCTCGCCAGCCCTTCAGTCCTTAAACCTTAGGCTCGTTCAAGGGTAATAGACTCCATAGTCAAGTCTCTACCCTTGCTCTCCTGGTCCAATGCTAGAAGGGCCAAAGACTTTGGCACCACAAGATACAACCTCAATCTCCCCAACCAGAGCCAGAACAGCGGGAAAAGCCTGAATCACACTCTGCCCACGTGGCAGCTGGGTGCTCCTCTCCCACCATAAACTTGCCCTGGGTGGACCTCCCCAGACCCCACCTTCCACCACTGGGTAGGGCGCACGAACGCGGCGCTGTGCGCGGAGCTTCCAGGTGACATGGTCGCGCACAAGGTCACGCAGTGCGTGGCACACACGCGGCAGAATATGGAGCACGAGGCGCGCGTCCAGGTAGGCGCAAATTTCGAGGAGCAGCTCCGGGGGCAGGCTCAGCAGGCCCGGCGCACCCACCGTGGGGACCCTGGACGCAGCCCGGGGCTCCAGGGCGCCAGGGGCTGCTGCGGGCGTGGATGGTAACGAGGCGCGCGGGGGAGCCAGTCCGGGCTTCGGCGGGCCCAGCACGCGGGCCACATAGGCTTCGGCCTGCGCGTCGGGGTCAGGCTCCAGTTCTGGGTCCGAGTCGCAGTCAGAGGCGCGGACATCCTCGCACTGCCCTGGAGGAAACTCCATGGCGACCGGCTGGGCGCGGCCCGCCCAGCTCTGTCAGCAGCTAGCCTCGCGTCCGGTCTCCTAGGCAGCACGAGGGTCTTTCCGGCGCGGCCTGATGACGTCCGAACCCCACAGGAAGCGAGCCCATAGTGGGCCGGCGCCTGTGGCGTTAGCTGGCGGCATTTACTTTGGGCTGGAAAGCGCTCATTGCTACCTCTTGCATCTAAAAATCAGGACTCAACACAGCGATCTAAGCGCCTGCCTGGCAAGACAGCTACGTTCGATCTCTACCGCATGCTGTGCGGGTCCCGCGCCGAGCAGGCCACCGAAACCGGTGCTCTCGCCTGTAATCCCAGCACTCGGGAATGTGACAGGATCCTTATATGTTGTTCAAGACCAGTCTGAATTGCATAGCGAGACCATTTCTCAAAGACAAAATTTTTAAAAAGCCCAAAACCTTAAAAGTTACTTAACCCTATCTGATTTATGATAATTTAGTAAGACATATGCTGGGTTTTTTTTGTTTTGTTTTAAAGTGCTGTAAGAATTTGTCCCTTCCACCATGGGTCCCCTGACACCTTCCCATTTTAAAAGGTAGGACACAGGGGCTGGGCCTGACTTCAATCCCCGGTAGGACACATACTTATGGTCTCACGACGTATTGTTTGTGACCACTTATTTCCTGGCTGGAGTTCTGTGCACCCCATTTCTAAAGTTTCCAAATGTGCTCTGCCCCTAACTTTACCCTCTACCCACAATCAAATCAAAGACACAGGAAACCAGAGGCCAGGGGTTTCACAAGAAACTGATCTTTACTCAACAAAGTTCTACACAAGTGGAATCTCACGCCACCTGGCGCCAATCCCCAGCACAGCACGGTAACAAATGGACAGAGCCGGGAGCCCACAGGGTAGTAGGGTAAAGAAAGGGGCTTGGGAAACAGGAGGACTGCGGATCAAAGCCAGGCTGGTCCACAGCCCTGGGCAGGGAAGAAGGTTGAGAAGATGAAACTTCGTTGTGCAAAAACCAACCAAAAATAAATTAAAAAATTAAATACCTTCCTTAAAAAAAAAAAAAAAAGGAAAAAGGAAACTAAAAAAAACCAGACTCCCCTTCCTGAAGGTGGCTGGAACCCCCAACCTGGGAAGAGGGGTTTACCAATACTATCAGATAGTCAATCCATGCAGACTCCTACACCCAATGGAGGGTGCTTCTGAGAATTGGAATTACCAGAAAGCTAAATGGTATTTTAAAAAGTTGTTTTTTTTTTTTTTCTTAAATGGCTTCCAGAGACCTGCTCATTTAGGGTGGGAACAGGGACCACTAGCGGAGTTATGGAATGTGCACTAAGTGCCCCTTGCAAGAGGCTGGCCTGGCCTATTTGAGATTACTGGGCCAGGTGGATGGAGAGGACTCAAGGAGACCCCAAAACACAAGCCCCCCCCAAAGAGTAAAGAGCAGAAAAGGGGTAAAGAAAGGAAAAAAAAATATTAAGGGGGCTGCAGGGCCCGGTTATCTGGCCAACTTGGAAAAAAAAAATACCCCCTTCTCTAAGGGAGTCCCCTCCCACCTAGACCACATCCCCACTGCATCCCAGAAGTTTCTCTGGAATCACTGTCCCAGTCTTGTGGGGTCTTTGGGTCCATTGGGCACTATGATGAGCATCGTGTCCCAGAGGGACAAAATGGGGAACAGAGGTTGCTCCACCACTGCCCTCTTCTCCAAGCCCTCAGCTTATATCCTGCTGGCAAAGCATAAGCCTGGGTCCTCTATCACCAATGTTCAGTGCCCCCAACCTTGAGGAAGGTGTCTGGGGGCAGGGAGAGCTGGCTGGCCCTTGACACTGCTTCCAGAGAGAAGGAGCAGGCCTCAGCAGCTCGGGGCCTCCAGCTCTCTTCAGCAGAGGACCCCATCCCGGAGCATGGGGAAGACAGGGTGACCTCTAGTCAGTCCTGCTGCTCAGGTGGTCCCCACTCTGCTAGCAGGGATGGGACAAGAACAGGGACACATTAGTTGGCTGAGGCATCCATGGAGCTGGCAGGAAGTTTGCAGAGCAGGTCCAAAGCGTGCACGTGCTGACAAGGCGGCCCAAGATGACCGTCCTCCCCCCACCCAGGTCCTGGTCCCAGCGGAGGCCCCCCAAACCCCCAGCCCTCACCCATCACCGCCGATTCCAGCAACACAGCGGAAGCTTCTTAGACTCTAGGTGCAGGTTACACGGAAGGCCAAACGGCGTAACTCAGGGGTTCACTAATTCTACTGTCTCCATGCAGTCGGGGGAATGGCGGGCCAGTGCCCGAAAATGCGTGTGGCCACGTGTGTGAACGTGAGAGTGTACGCATCTCTACAAGGACCCCCCTCCCGCCTGCCACCCCCGCCTCACCCAAAGCCGGATTTGGTCGGCTGTGTGGATTCCTCCCTCCCTTGTGGCTGACCCCATGTGGGCTGCCTGAGATGCCCGTCAGGGGCTTCTGCCCACCATGAAGTCCCACCCCCCTCCCTGTGTGTAGGATGAGCATAGGGGCCCCGCCCATCTGCCCAAGCACTGGCCGGACAGGCCCAGTGGGGCAGGCGGACAGACGGACGGACCAACAGGGAAGGCGTCTGGATTTGGGTCCCACTCACTCCTCCCTAACCCCCCTTGACCAGGGCACAGCGACTTCTGGACGCAGCGCGCTCCCTAGCAATCCCTTCGACGATGCAGACAGAAACCTGCTGGGAAGAGGGAGGATCAGGGCCTGTACCAGTCGGTCCTCCACCCAGACACTAGCTGACCGGCCTCAGCCTGCTCACCTGGCAGTCTCCCCATCTGCCTAGACCCCGTAGAAGGCCGCCAGCCTCTCCTTGAGCAGTGGTGGGAACTGCTCTGAGAACTGTTGCCAGTTTTCCTCCCCAACTTGGTCTTTGAAGCCATGGAGGATCTGCAAGGGGACAGGGGTCAGAGGTAGGCTGAGGCAGAGTAGGAGACAGCTAGCTCACCACCTACAGCCAAGGGCTCCGACCTGTACCCTCCAGGGAACCAATCAGGGGCTAGTGGGAACCTCACCTTATAAAACATGTCCCGAAGGTCATCCTTCGGGCTCACCCAGGAGGCTACAGCATCGCAGAAGAAAATAAAGTCCTAAAACATGATGGATCCCATGTGAGGGGCCGCCCCGGCTAGCCCCCGCCCTGCCCTCAGAGCCCAAGCTGCCCGACCTGCACAACACCCCCAGGGTTGACACCAATCATCATGCAGATGCCCCGGAAAGCCGAGTCCTTCTCCTCGTTGTCCCTGATGTTCCTGAGGGATGTGCACCTGCAGAGGAGGTAGGTGGCAGGTCAGTGAGGGGAGGCCAAGGATGTCCAGCCCCTGGGGGAGTGGGGGGAATAACCAGCAAGGGAAGGGTCAGATCTGCCCATGAGCCCACCCCTAGCAGGCCCAGGCCAGCACCCACCAAGGCCGGATGAACTGCTGCAGCATGGGTGCCACCTCCTGTGGGCACACGTAGCCCAGGCGGCCAATGGTGATGGCTGGAATGGCAGAGGGACTCGTCAGGCGACCTGCAACCCCGAGTGGCCCCGGGACGGTACGTGGCGCGGCCTCTGGCACAAGGCATCGAGCCCCGCCCCATGGGCCCCAAGGGACCAGCCTCTGGGACCAGCCAAGGCCCCAAGTCTGGCCAGGCCAGGATCTCCCCCACCCAGCCTGGGGTTCTTCCCAGGTCGCTGCAAGGTCAGCATTTTTCTCAAGGCTCCTCCCAGAAGCCCCATCAAGGTGCTTCAGGACATCCTCCCTGATTCCCTCTCACCCCCCAGAGCAGAACCACACTTGGAAGATGTGAGTGAGGCAGAGCTACTGCCCAGGCCTGGCACCCACCTGTGTTTTCCAGCAGTGTCTTAGGCGTGTTGGGCCGGTTAATGATCTCCACTAGGTTGTTGAGGACCATCTGTACGTAGGGCTGCATCTCAGCCCCTAGGGAACCCGCCCATCAGAGCTCTGCACTGCCTGCTGTACCCACAGCAGGCCTGCAAGGATGTAGCCCCCACTTACTAACCCAGTGCCATCCAGAGGCCACAACTGTTAAGGGAACAAAGCACCTTTGGCCACTTCCTAGCCAGAAGCCAGTAAAACACAGACAGACCCACACCTTCCCAACACCAGTGTTCTCTGCAGTCATCAGGCCAGACCTGGAGACCACACTGCCCAGCCTTGCCTTCTCTTTGGGAAAAGAGGCCAAAGTCACTCAACCATTGTCCAATCCAAATTGCTCTCATCACACCTCTTGGGAGGAACCAATCACAAATGGTCTCTCAGCATTTGACTCTACACCCACAGAAAATCCTCAAAGGTGTCCTTTTAGCCTTGGCCAACTGGATGCTCTCCTGAGTGTGTCATTCAGAGCTAGGCTTCTACCCCTAGGTCAGGAAAAGACCAGTGGGGAGAGGCACAGCTGCAGCCCCCTTGCCAGGCACTCACCCATCTGCATGCAGATCTCCCCGATGGCCCAGGTGGCATTGTTGCAGACAGAGATGAACTCGGGGTTCAGGTTGGTGCCCAGGATGGGCATGAACTCGGCTGGTGGGAAGGGAGAGGAATGGGTAAGCAAGAAGGCCCATGTGGATGAGCCCCTGGGACTGACTGGGCAGGCCCATCAGACAGTACGAATACATCCCAGTGGGTCACAGCTCTCCCCGGGCATGTCTCCATCACGTGAAGCCAGTGTTGGACTATGGGCGCAAGACAGGGGAGGGGCTCACCTATGCAGGGCTTGACGTGGATGAAGCAGGCTTTGGTGAGGTCCCCCAGGAGGGCAAAGGAGCTCTGCCGGACCTCAGGCATCGAGTCCTGGGGGTTGGTGAGGGGTCAGTGTGGCCACCCCTCTCTTCCCACCCAGGGGGTATAAGACCAGACACAGGCCCTGCGCACATCTAGCTCTGAGCACAGAGGCTCCAGCTGACTGTCCCCATCTGTGACCCCGCTCTAGGGACACAGCTGCAGAGAACACACATCACTGCTGCCCATGCCCTGAATATCTGCAGGTTTCAACCCCAGATCAACCAACCATGGACAGAAGATATTCAGAAGAAAAACCAAAGAGACTAGGGCTGTTGCTCAGTGCTGGCACAGTCCAACACTGCAAAAGAAACTCCTGCAACTATACTGAGCATATACAACCTTTCTTGGGTCACCATCCTCTAAATAGTACCGTATGAGTGCCTATTTACACGGCAGCTACACTGTATTACGAGTCAAGGGAAACCAAGAACAACTATACTGGGGAGGCTTATGCGTTCACATTTTCTACGTTTTGTTTTTGAAACAGGGTCTTGCTATGTGGTGTGGGCTGGCCTTAAACTCACTATGAGGCAAAAGTGGGCCTGCCTCAGCCTCCCAAGTGCTAGGATTACGGGCATGCACCACTACCATGCCCCACTTGTTTTTTTGAGACTGGTCTGTTTATTTGTTTGGTGTCAAATGCAAGGTGATTCTCCCAGCTCAAGCCCCCAGTGTGGGGGTGACAGGAGTACTCCTCCACAATCAGCCTCACACTTTTTTTTTCAATGTATTTAGTACGGGTCTTCAGGTTCTCACTACCCAAATTGGACTTGTAGTGATCCTCCTGTTTTCAGCCTCCCAAGCACTGGGATTACACACACACCACCCACCATGCCCAGTCTCAATCACCTGTCGTGGCATGCCCTGGAGGCGGGGCCGGCACGGCACCCAGCAGCCAGGGTCCTTGCTTCTGCCTAAGGCAGCACTGTAATCCACTCAACTATCTGGGCTGGCCCTATAGCCTCACATTTTCTATTTCTGATTTTCAAGACTATTTACTTTTTTAAAATGCTGTTCATGCTGGAGCTGGCTAGGTATGGAATCCAGGGCCTCGTTTGTGCTAAACTAAGGCCCACTACTGAGCTACACTGCCAGCCTATTTGCTTTCCTTGTTTCTCTTTGCTAGTAGCAGAGCAGGAAGGCCAGACTGCGTGAGCTCCTGGAACAGGCTGGGAAGGCCTATCAGATGGTACGAACACACCCGTTTGTGGTCACTGAGCTCCTAGTGTGTGTCACCACTTGAAGGCAAGAGTACGAGGCAAAGGACACTACACCACCCATCCTGCCTCAGCCTGTCACGGAGCTGGGATTACAGGTGTACACCTTTGTTTGCTTTTGTTAATGAGATTTTGCCTTATTTGAATCACATTCCTGGGTCTGAGGATTATAGCCAGGGCCTTCATTTCCATTGAAGTACATTCCCAACCCTTTAAAAAGGTTTCTTACTCTTGCTAAGTTGCCCCCAAGCTCTTTGCCTCTGCCTCCCAGAGTACTGGGACACAGGGGTATGCCAGCACACCTGGCTATGAATCACTTTTTAAATAGTCAGAAGCTCCTTTCCTTTTAGAGATCCTCTTCCCTGATGTCTGTCAGGCACAAAAAGGGAACCAAGTGCCTAACATGAGCTGCTAGGTACTGTCACTGTCAATCCTTGGTGATGGCCAGAAAGGGTCCCAACCTATATGAGGCACGTACCCACCTGCATGCACTGGAAGAGGAGGGTCATGATGTTGCTTCGGGCCACTAGCTGCTCCACATGGCCACCCAGGCCTTCGGCCAGGCCGCTGAGCAGGTCCAGCGCCACAATCATGAAGTCCTTGTCCGGGGCCTCATACTGCTCAGGGTGCTGGGTGTACATCTGGGTACAGGTGGGGTGGGGGCAGGATGAGGAAGGAGCAGGCCAGGGCCTGGACAGCAGCTGGGCAGGCAGATGGTGAGTGGGGTGCTCACCATGGCTTGGGCCAGCGTCTTCTGCACCAGGGTGACACAGCGCTGGTAGACAGGCTCACAGTAGGGCAGGAAGCCACTCTGCAGGGCGGTGGCCACTGATGACAGGCACTGGGGAAAAACAGCAGCATGGTGACGCCAGGCAGGACCTCAAGAGGCAGTGTGGATGGGGACCTGAAGGTACTCACCTCCAGCAAGGGGAAGAGATCCTTGTCCTCATCCTTGAGCTCATTCCACTTCTGGATCAGTGGGGGCATTAGCTTCTGGATGTATTCCTGGGGGAGGGGCAGGCATTGGGCTACCCAGGCCATGATCAGAGCTCATCTGCCTATGGAGGCCCACCCCATCCCAGTCAGATCAGTACCTCCTAATTCCTGGGCACAGCATTTACTATGATGTCTCCTACTGTGTCCCCCCTAGACTGGGAGCAGGGCAAAGGCAGGGACCAGAAGGATCTGTCAAAATTATAGCCATGGATATAACACATCCATGGCCAGGGACATATGTGACACGGAGTTGCCACCAGATGCTGAAGGGCATAGAGATGGGGAAGAGGGATCCCCTCGGATCTCACCGGCTGGTTGAGGTGGTGGCCCACAGAGTCAGCCAGTGTGCCGATGGCATCATAGAGGATGAGCAGGTTCTTATGCTGGTATTTGCCAAAGGCAAAGACAAGGGTGTCCAGGATATAACTGAGGTAGGGCACCAGCTCTGTGCAGGCCTCCTCCTCCAGGGTGGCGAAGGCACTGGTGGGGAAAGAGGGGGCAGATGGCTCAGTGGATCCAGTAGTGGCGCTAGCCAAGGCAGGTGAGGAAGGTGCTCACGGGATCAGCCAGTACGAATACAACAGAAATCAGAGCCATGTCAGTAGTCACATGCAAGTGTCATCACTTCCCAGGGGCTAGCCAGGGCATGGGGCCAGGGGGCAGGAGGTCAAGGGTCACCTGCAGGCTGCTTCCTGCACCCTCTTATTGCCATCCAGGATACGCTTGAGCAGCTCTGTCATCAGAGGCTTAAGGTGCATGTCAGGTGGCTGGCTGACCACCCAGTGGGCGTAACGGCTCAGTGTCCAGCAGGCAATGGAGCGGACCAGAGCTTTCTTGTCCGACAGGCACTGGATAAGGTGTGGGATCAGCTCCGGCAGGTAGGGCACCATACCCTGCATGCAGCCTAAAGACCAGAGGAAAGAGGGCCCAGGGGTAAGGCCCAGCCTGCCCAGGCCCAGGCATTCATGTCCTGATAGAAAGGACTAGCCCCACCCAAGGGATGGGGAAACCGAGGCTCAGGGTCATTTCATGTAGTAGATGACAGGCAAAAACTGGAGGTGTATGGAGGTGTATGTCATTTGGTTGTGACATTACACTATCTGGCCACTCATTAATTCTAAGGAGATTTTGGGGAGGGCCCAATGGCCAAGGTGGGTTGAAAGTACTAAGGACTTCTCACTTGACACCCTAAGATGTTTACACTTTTTGTTACTCTTCATGTTATTTTTGCAGTATTGGAATGGAACCCAGAGGCTCTTGTACGTATGGCAATGCTCTACCACTAAATTACACTTCTAACTCTTCTTGTATCTTTTCTTCCTAGCTTCAAGACAGGCTCTTGCTAAATAATCCAGGCTGGCCTTGAACTTGCAAATCTCCTGAGTCAGATACAACTCAGGGCCTGAGCATGCTAAGCAAATGTCCTACCACTGACTCATACCCTGTGGCCTACTCTTTTGTTGTGACATGAAGGACTAAACATAGGGATGCACTACCACTGAGCTACCTCCCCAGCCACTTGGTTTTTACTGTCAGATAAGATCTTGCTAAGTTTCCCAGGATGGAGTCCAACTTGTCCTCTTGCAAAGAGTGCTGGGATTATAGGCATATATAACTAAGCCTCTCTCTTTTTTTTTTTTTGTGTGTGTGTGTGTGTGTAATTGGGGATTAAACTCAGGCCCTTGCACCTGCCAGGCAAGTGCTTATTCTACTGAGCTATCTCCCCAGCACAAGCCTCTCTTTTTTGGGGGGCATAGAGTGTTAAGATAACATCATAGAGAATGAGCAGGTTTTTGTACTGGTTCCTGCTGAAGGCAAACACAAGGATGTCCAGGATGTAGCTGAGGTAGGGCACCAGCTCTATGCACTACACAGTTCAAGCTAGGCTTGAACTCACTATGTTGCCCAGGCTGGGCACACCTGATAAATGTTTTTTTACTTAAACAGAACAGATTACAGCATATTCTCCCTTCAATAATCAAAAACCACTTTTACCAGGCTGCAGTCACCTTCTCTAGACTGTCCTGTCAATACAAACAAACTTAACACAAACTATCAATAGCTGCACATGCACTGCATGATGTAGGACATACAACTCAGGTAGGATACATACTATACTCAAAAACCTTTTTCCTTTTTTATTTTACTTTATTTTAAATGTAATGGGGGTTGAACCCAAGGCATTTAGACTCAACTATATCCACAGCCTTTTTCATTTGGAGACCAGGTTTCACCAAATTACTCAGTTATCCAATTCAAACTTGCAATTCTCAGGCCAGCCAGATAGCTCAGCAGGTTATAGCAGACAGAGGCCCAGGGTTCAATCCCCCTGCCCTACCGGCCCTGCTCCCCTAAGACAGTGATTGAGACTGGGTGTGGTAGTGGGGCCTGTAATCCCAGCACTTGGGAGGCTGAAAAACAGCAGGATCATTATCAGTCTGATCTGTGTAGTGAGACCCTGTAGACCCTGTACTAAATACGTTGAAAAAAGAAAAGAAAAAAATTTGCGATTCTCTTGCCTGGCCTCCTGGAGTGCTGGGATTAAAACACACTGGCTACAAACAGCTTACTCATTTTTTTGTTTGTTTTTTCAGTTCTGGGAATAGAACCCAGGCCCCCTTGTGCCTGCCATGTGAACACTCCACTGAGCTACATCTCTAACGCTCCTCAAAGTTAAGCCATCTGGATTCTTGGTTCGTGCTGCTGCTCTGAAATGTTTATGACTGCTCTGGGTGCCTACGCCATCACACATGACAGCTTCAGTGGATGAGCCAAAGCCTTGCCCTAATTCATGCTCTATATGCCACTGGGAAAAAAGAGCCTAAAAACCAAACCAATAACAGTGTACCATGTTTATCTGAGGAAATGTCATTGCTCCGATTCTGACAGGGCCAGACTTGAGGACCAGAGGTACCCTAGTGATTACAGGGAAGAAGTATCGCTCTGTGACCTTCAGCCACTCATCTGTGAACCTGGGGGTCTGGAACCACTTAGGGGGAGGCAGCGAAGACCAGGTGCATTCACCTACATGGGTCCTCATCTGCGAGCCACCCTCCTGTGGGTCTGGCACTACTGAAGTGCCCGCTGATCATTGTGGCTGCTGGAACCACTTTCCAGCACTGCATGCCCTGCCTGGGAGAACGAAGTGTAAAGGCCTAAATGCTGAGGTTTGAGGACTCCTTTCAGGAACATGGGCCAAGGAGAGGACCAAGAACCCAAAGTTCTTCTCCAGGTGTGGTGGTACACGCCTATAACCCCAGCACTCAGTAGGCTGAGGCAAGCCCACCACAAATTTGAGACGAGTCTAAACTACACAGTGAGACCATGTATCTGACAAACAATCCAGTTCTTTGGAGAGGGGCTACCAGGCCTCACCGGCACTGAGGGGCCACACCATCCATCAGCAGTGCCAGGCCAGCCCAGTGCTGAAACACAGAGCAGAGCAGGAGCCCTAGATGCAGGGAGGCAGGGACTCACCCTCGGCAATAGCTCCCAGCACCAGGATGCCAGACTCCTTGACCACCCACTCAGGGTGGAACAGCAGGCCCTTGAGCAGGGGGAGCAAGTGGGGGAGCAGCTCCTCTCGGAACACGTTGGCAAGGACATCAAGTGCAGCTGCAGAGCACTTCCCTGCAGAAGTCAGCAGTGGGTGGACTGAGGCAAGGCAAAGGCCCTGCCACCCACCACCCTCTGCCCCCTCAAGCGAGGTCCACCCTCCATGCCCCTCTACATGCAGGGCCCCCTGCGCACTCAGGTTCCAGTCAGACAGGGCGTCATCATCATCATCATCCTCTGCATCCTCTGAGCCATCCGGCCGCTCGGCCTCGTGGGGCAGCGTCACCGTACGTGACTTGTGGAAGCGTGGCTTGATGTCCTGCTCACTGTCGGGCACGGCCTCGTCCTCCTCCACGTCCCCCTGGGCCAGGCAGAGGGCTCAGCACCACGCGGGACCCCAGCCCCAGGACACCCTGGAGGTGCCGCCCATGCCTGACCTTGAGCAGGATGATGTCAATTTCCGAGTACTTCATCCCGTTCACAAGGATGGGGATCAACCTGGCAGGAGAGAGGCCGTGAAGAGAGGTGCAGGGCCCTGCCACCAGGGGCTCGTGGGGAAGGTGGGCACTGGTGCCAAGCAAGGCACAGGCTCTGCTGACTCCTCGTGTCCTGCATCCATGCAGTCCCTTTGGGGAACTCTCTCAACCTAGTTTCAGCCACCATAATTAGAAGACATCATTCTTGGCACCACAGGAAGAGCTCTTGACCCAGACCTGGCCACCTGGTAAATTCCAAAGCCCACAATGCACTGGAAACCTTGCAGCGGCACCTGGGCCCCAGCTCAGCACAGGCACGAGCATTTGGGCCCAGTTCTGGTGTCCTCCCTCACACACAGGTGAGACAGGGCTGAGACGGGCAGCCCAGGACAGGGTGCAACAAGTGGGCACCCAGGCCCTCAGGAGTAGCCCATGAACTTAGGATTCCAACTTTCAATAGACCCGTTCTGTCCTGAATGAAACGTGACCCTGGTGTCTACTGTCTCAGCCCCAGCTCCTCTCCCTGGGAGAGGTAATAATTTAGGAACTGGGCGTGAGGCACATGGCTGTGATCCCAGCACTTGGGAGGCTGAGGCAAAGAGGATCACAACTTTGATCCCAATCTGAGCAACTCAGTAAAACCCTGTCTCAAAATAAAAACTAAAAAGGAACTGAGCGTGTAGGTTAGGACAGAAGCCTTAGGTCCCATCCTCAGTACGGGGGGGAAATAAGATTCAGGTGTAAGTGACCCAGATAGGTCACAAAGGGCCAGGTCTAGGCCTTTTGTGCAAGACTCTGAGTTTCCCAAAGTAAAAGGACAAGGAAGGCCACTGTCCTGTCCAGGGATATCATGCCTGACAAACACAAAGCCCAAACAGGAGGAAACAGATCTGAGGCTAGACAGAAGCCTTTTACACTCTGCGCACCTGGACTCAGCCATGCCTGAAACCTTGGTTGGTTTGTTTCTCATCAATTCTCTAATAACTTTTAGTCATTAAAGCTTTATTCTTGTAAAACACACATGGAAGATGTGAACTGAGGCAATCACAGGAGGTGACCAGAAGGGAAGGCACAAGTGCAGAGGGGGTGGAAAGATGCAGGAAGGGGGCAAAGCGACACTCACTGGACCAGGTGGGAGGCCAGAACCTCCTTGCAGATGGGCTGTTCAGCTAGCGTCAGCCAGAACTCACAAGCCTCGAGGGCTACGTTCTCATCGTGGTCCTGAGTCCTCTGTAGCATGTACTGGGGGCAGGTAGAACACAGGCTGAGCCGAGCCCGCCGTGGGCACCTGGAGCTGCTGCTCCCCACCTCACCCCCTGGCCAAGGTGTGCACACCTGGATGATGCTGTGCATGTGGGGGATTAGCCGGTCGATACGAACTTCCAGAAGCATCACCAGGGCACGGCACACATTCTTCCGCACCTCAGGGTCGTCGTCCACAGCCAGGGCGAACAAGTGCTGCCAGGGAGGCCAGGTCAGCTGCCTCAGGGCCCTTGGTCACCCTCTGCCCACCCCCAGACCAGCCACCCACCTCAATGAAGGTGTCAATATTGTCCATCAGCGCCTGGGCCCGGTCCATGATGAATTGGTTCACACAGGC